ATAATATTGTAGGTCCATTTCATTGTTGTTCTTTCTACGCACCATTATAACACATTTTCATTTCATCATTTAATTTCTATTGTGCTTATATTGTTGTATGTTTATTACAAAAAATGGCACAATAATCATTAATTGTCAATTTCGTCATTAAATACTACAACAAATACAAAATAGATAGCACCATTAAATTCTGGTTATTACGAAGTTATTTTAACATTTGTAAGTTCAACCGTTTGGTTTCCTATAGGGAAAAAATAAACAAATAAACAAACTTCCTCTTTTATATATATACAGATAAAGGTGTCTTTAATGTCAACATGTCAATCATGCATCGCTATAGCATCAGAAACCACATTGTCGAACACATCCATTTAAGATATAACAATTACTAGAAGCATACTAGGTATAAAAATGTTTTAGAGTCAACAATACCGCATCATTTAAACACTAAAGCTTGTTTTAGAACAAAGTCACATGGGGTTATCTGCTATGTTCAACACAGGGAATCGAACTCTGTATTTTAGCACTGTAAGTCTGTAAATTTACTGCTATCCCACCGGGAGGCAAACACTAGAGACTGTTCTTTTTAATAAAATCAATGAATGTATAATAATTAATAGAAGCATAATATATATAAATGTAGCTTCACTATCAACAGTAATGCAACATTCTGATACTGCAAAAACATTGTTTAACTCATCCGTTTGATATGTAACAGCTGTTAGAATTACACTGGCTACGAAAGTATCTTAAATGTCAAGTATAATACATTGTTCCAGCACTGGAGACCACACTGTTTAACATATCTGTTTAATCTATAACAGTTTGTAGAACCACCCAGTCTATGAAAACACCTTCACTGGAAACAGTAAGACATCATTTCAGCATTGTTTAACTTCTCCTTGTCAATAATAATGCATCACTCCAACATTAGAAACAACGCTGTTTAACACATCCTTTTAATATATAACAATTAACAGATCCATACTAGCTATAAAAGTATCTTCAATGTCTACGACAATGCGTCGTTTCAGATGTTTTTTCCCCCAATACACATATGTGGCTCTTTGTGTCTGCTATCATCCTGGCTGTCTTTTTCAAACTTACAGACAGTGTCACTCCTTCTCTTTCCCTGTCTGGTTTGTCGCTAAAGAATTGGTCCCTTGGAATACTACGGACTTCTGGTGGGTTCTCAAAGCCATATTATATATTCATAGCTAAATATGGTGTGTGGTAACCAAAGAATAGACATCAAATTATCTGAAGTGATAATTAATAGCATTCAAGATAAACAATGACAAATGATAAACAAAAACATACAAACCAAGCAAAGAGAATTGTGCTAAAAATATTGTCTACATACATTGATTATTTAGGCAGGTATTGATGGTGATCCAGCTTAGCATCTTTTTTTTTTCCTGCAAGTATTAGGGTTCTATAGATATATTCATACATTGCTGTTGATAGTTGTTATAAAAAATATGTCTAAAATGACAGAAAATTGCATGTGGAGTCCAACTAAAAAACCAATAAGTTGCAAAAAAATCATTTTATGGAGTGCCTCTATATCTTAAATCAATCAGGAGTCTTTAGTGAGAAAATGTGCTTAATTTCATGGTTGTCACAAAAGTCCACAATTCCACCAGAAAAATATTGCTTAGCCAATGGACTATTGGTCAGGAGTTCCAATTTATGAATTCCTGCATCTAAACTGTAGAGATTTCTGACCTTACCTTTAGCCTGTATGTCGCATAAATTGCCGTTCAGACTGTTTGTTTGTTTTGAGGGCTATCTGCACTAGATGTCCCTAATTTAGCAATAAAAGACTAGGAGGAAGGCAGTCAGTCATCACCACCCACCGCCAACTCTTGGGCTACTCTTTTACCAACGAATGGTGCAATTGACCGTCACATTATAACGCCCCCACAGCTGAAAGGGCGAACATGTTTTGGTGGGACAGTGATTTGAACCCGTGACCATCAGATTGCGAGGTCTCCGTTCAAACTGAAAATACCAAATAATATGTTTAATGTTACAGTGCTCTTTCTTTTTTACAGCTCTAATTTTATTTGTTTCTGTATATTTGATTCTTTCTTTTTGAACACAATTTTACGGGACTTTAAACATTGTTAAAAAAGTGTCAGTTTCTGAGAATGACTAAGTAAACTTTGTTAAGGTAGACCTTCTTATATAATCATTAAACAATTTACTTAGGATACCTGGAACAATAAAATATAATAAAACTAATGACACTGATTAAAAAACAAGCCACACGTTTTGACGAATTCTTAGGTCTTCATAAGAAGTATAAGAATGAAAAGTGGCAATCTTGTCTTAAAATTGTGGCATTCACAAGTACGTTGGTACGTTGGTACCAGCGTGAATGGCAGAAAATGTTGTGCTGAATTAAATTCAGATTACTGGCTTTTGATTAATTTGGAGAAGGAGGTTGAACACAATGTAAAACTAAAGTGAAAGTAATCATTATTTATAACAACACACATCAAATGAGACAGATGTACATAAATATAATATACTACTACTCCATAACTATTGTGAAGTCTCAGAAAAAGATATGTTTGAAATTGTAATGAAACTTGAAAGACCCTGAAAATGTAGAAACTAGAGAATCAACAGTCACACCATCCAGAATGTATGTACCACCCACATCAATTATTATCATTCCATAAGCAGAAAAAGGGAAGACACAGATTCCAGGTTTTTGACACAGCTAATCTGGCTAGAGAAACTATACCACACTAAATCAAATAGTTTGACAATAATGCCTTTCATGAAATGTATTTGTTTCATAAAAATGGAATACTATTAATAACAACGTGTAACTGGGACCCTAAAAAGCTATTTCCATTCCAGAAGTGATTTTTCTGCATTTTAAAGCTATGATAACGCCATGAACGCACATCTATATACCAACTTTTGGAAACTAGAAAAGAAATAAAACATCTGGTATGTTTCACATACCATATTTTCTAAGATGTGAGCACAAGATATTTGATTGGTACAATGATACTAATGTTAGTATTTAAATATGTTTTGAAAGTTTAGCGAAAATATTTCTATTTTCTCAATCTGGAAAGTGGATATAGGGGAAAACATGTTATCTAGTGATGAATTAACTTAGAACTAACCACAAGGAAAGATCTACAGAAATACATCGTACAGACTCACACATCAAGATGGCGCCCAAGGTTATTCGGCTCTCTTGCTCTGTGGCAGATTGTCTTGGTGAAACGAAAATCAAAACAGGCATGAATCTAATTTTTCTTTTTATCCATATAGTATTCTCACTAACCCTTTAAAGCATGAGTGGGGCGAAGAGAGATTGGCTGATCTCTGTGCACCACTGACTTACTTAAAAGCCTAAATACCTTCCACGTTTCTTGGTTGGGTCTAGTGCTGAGGACTTGTGTAATCAATTGGTATAATATTTACGCCATTTTAAATGTGTTTTGAAAGCGCAACCTGTTTCACCATAGTAGATACCAGGGTAATCTTTATAAAGGATTTTATACACAACTCAGTTTTTTTGAGGATATAGGATCTTTAGTTTTGAACAAAGAGATCATGTAAAAGCTACTCATGGGTCAAAAGGCAGATTGAGTGTTATCATTAAGTGATATATAATTTGTTTTGGTAAACTTCTAGCGATAAGAGGATTAGTGTTTGAATTTTAATCCATGTGTTTGATTTATTAAATCGTTTAGAAAAATTAATAGGATATTTCCTGAACGTAAAATAACATGAAAATGGGCAGCCTATTTTATCTGATGTAGACTTTTTTACATGGAAACTTCACTGAAATATATAAATGGTGCACATATAAAGAAAATCAGAAACTCAAGCTCAATAGTCTCAATTATAAGAACTATAACTCGAAGATAAACCAATCAAATACAAATGGATAATTCAATATCATTTACTTAAACCTAAA